AAATTTTAAGATATTTGAGTTTGTTATATGTTTAATTTTTTTTAAATTATTTTTAGTAAGGAGAATTAAAAAATACAACACAATTTTTTTATTTTTTTAAAAACTTTCTTTTTTACTAATTAAATAAAACCAATAAAAAGAGTGTTTTTATTTGATTTTGGCATCACCTTGATTCAAATTTTACTATATTTCTATATGTTGATTGCAATTATTTACTTTTTTAAAAAAAAAGACTATCATAAAAAACATGTTTTTAAATGGTATTTTTATATAATTAATGTATTATAATTTGATGTAATAGTTTTATCGTGTTTCAATTTAAATCCAAGACAAATTCTAATTATAATGAAAGACAAATCAAATAAATAGAGATATCTCCAAAACACAAATATCTTTTTTAAAGTATATGTATTTAAACATACATATCTCGTATACACGTTATTTAATCGATTGAAATATTGATAATTATATATTATTATATTATTACAACGTTATTAATATATCACTTTGTTTTTATTACATAGAATAATTTTAAGTAAATCGACATTTAATTATTTTTAAACCATATTTGTTTTTACCACCTGTCGATGTTTAATCACGATTTTATAAAAATGTTTAAATGTTAAAAATTTATAATTTCTATGTTGTTTATGTATCAATTTATTTGTTACAAACATTCAAGATATTAACATTATTAATGTTAATAGTTTATTGATTTTAATAAAAAATTAATATAAATTTGAAAAAAATGTATTTTAACATTAAATAAACAACTTTTTAATGATAATTGTAGTATTTTCCCATTTTTTACTAAAAAAACAAATAAATTATAAAACCAAAATATTTTTACTGAAACACAAACAAATTAAAAAAATAAAAAGTATAAAATCGTTTTGATTATTATTTCGTTTATTATGCTTTTCCCAAATCTAATTACCACATTCGTTGTCAATGAAAAGGCCTTGCTATATATCAGAACCAACCAAAAAATTGTGCTATACACTTGTTGATACAGTATAACATGATTTTATCATAACTTTTTGTAAAGATAAAGAATCCGAAATATAAAGAAAAAAGAATTTAAAAGAACAAATTATTTTCATTAAAGATGCCAATACAACATTTTCAATGGCATCAATATCAAAAGTCTTTGGACGCAATTATGAAACTCGTAAAGGACTCGCAAAAAAGCCTGACATCCAGAAACCAACTGGAAGAGCACCATTAATTACGGAATATTCAAAAGAATAGATTGTTAAGAAATTCATTGACAAATAAAACACCACATGACCAATAAACTCTGCTGTAATTTTTAAATTGGTCGGTCCGAAATGTGGTTCAGAGGATTATAAAAAGCAGTCATTCGATTGGGTCAGACATAACATAGAAATACGACCCACCAAGATTTTTCCAATAAAAAATGTAAAATCTCTTCTCGATCGTGAGTTGTTAAGGGAATACATTGAACGTGGCAAATGTTTACTCAACAACGAATATCAATACTGCCGCAATGAACAACGTTTGGTTGGTGTTGATCCGAGTTTAATTATCAACATTGACGAGAGTGGGTTCATTCCTTTTGTTGACACCAAGAAGAATAGTTGTTGTGACAAATCGCAGCCTCTTAAAACGTTTTTACTGGTTGACCGAAGTGTGAGGAGTATGACTCTGGTTGGTGGGATTTGGGGCGACAACACTAAGCTCAAGCCGCTGTTTATTGTGTCCAGAAAAACAATAAACTTCGACATTGAAGAGTACATCCCTCTTGACCAAATTACCATTTGTTACCAATCAAAGGCTTTCATTACCAAAGAAATCTTTGTTTATTGGCAGAAGAAGGTACTTCTACAAGAACTAAACAATAGAAGATCGAAGACGAGTTGGCATTGGTGGTGATGGATGGTCTTGGTTTACATTTCAGTGAAAAAACATCCAAGTGGTTCACCGACAACCACATGGCTGGTATGAAAATGTACCCACATTCTTTACACATCATTTAACCACTCGACGTGCATGTTTTCAAGTTTACAAAGTTTTTTTGTGTATTATTATAAATTTATTAAACATTAATTATAATAAACTAAACATTAAAAACTTATCCAACTTCCTCAAGTTGACGAAGACTTAAGTCTTGAGCCAATTGATTTGCAATATTTGGACCATGTTTTGGGTACTTTGAAATTGGAAGACGCCAACTGTACCAAAGGTAAAAAGAAAAAAATTATAAAGGATCTATATGAGGTGATATTGACAAAGGCTGATTTGGTTGAATTCACCAAAAATCTTTTGTCCAAACAAATAATATTGATCCACACTTTTTAGGACAAAGCAACTTTTGGTGTTACCATTGTCAACGCGTTTACAAAGTGTGTGTTCTTCAACACAAGTGCGTTAAAGGGAAGAGATATGCTTGCGCGTCAAGTTTATTCCAGAAAGATCAAAATTGATGATGACTTTCTTGGAAGAACCAGTGTCATTTGAGAGAGAGCGATTTATTAAAAGGAGAAAAGCAGTTGTTGCACACAACATACCAGAGTTCGAAGATGAGTATGATAATATATTTTTTCAAGAAATTTAACATCGAGAACTCTACCAACATAATTCGACCTCGTTTTCTGTTTTTTGATTTTTTGTTAAAAATATGAAACAATGTAAAAATAGTATAATGTATTAATAGTTAATGAATATGTATATAATTAAATAAATATTATATATTCTTATAATACATATTTAATATATAATGGTTAAGTAAAAACCCATAATATTTATCTATAAAAGTATTTTAAATAAAAAATCCAGTTTCAAAGAGTAATTGAATATTTCTAATGGTGAGTTTGGTTAAGATTGTTTTCCAACCCTATAATAAAGTTTTATAATATAATATGTACAGTAGGTGAAATAAGCCGATAAAAATAAAGAATAGTATAAAAAGAGGGGTTTGATACTTAATATAAAGTGTATAATTAAATTTACATATTATAATGAGAAAAACAAAAATAACATATTAAACTTTTTATATTTAGATTGTTTTGATGTTTTCCCGTTTTTCAACCGAATTATGAATAAATATTTAATTATATATTTAAATAATTAAATTCCTATTTATGTTTTTTAAACGTCTGAACAAATCAATAAACACTATTTTGTGGTGGCTAAAACGCACATAGAGTTAATAAATGCACAGTGTCGAAAATAAGGGAGTAATAAAAAAGTAATTTCTATTAATACAGACTATAATTCAGATTTTGGTGGAATTAGCAAAAACTTAGAATGAGAAAAATATTCAAAGACTGAAAAGGAAAGGGTTTTCCAAAAACAACAATCTGAAAAGGTTGAATCGATCCTAAAAGACGGATGTAGATTTAGTAGAAGAAACTAAACTTGATAAAGCTTTTATAAATGAATAGAAAAAGACTAAAAGTTCTTTATCAATAGTCAAAAAGTCACGAAAAAAAGACTGAGAAAGTAGTAACAGGGGATGAACAAAGGTATGGGGTATGACAATAGTAACAAGATATCTTTTTTTGTTAACACGGAGGAACGGGCATTGAAATGAGTCAATTAGAGGTATGACTGTTATACCCATGAACTAAACTATGCGGTAGTTTATGTTTGTATTCTGTGAAACTCAAATTTAGGTCAAAATTAATTATTTACATAAAAAAGTTTATTTAAAATATCAAACAGTAAAAGCATCATATTGATTCAAATTATATTGTATTTGTTTTAAATGTTTTTAGGGAATTGTATTAAAAATATTCGAAATACTTGCACTAACCTCGTTGCTTTTTTTATAATAATAAACTTATAAAAAAGAAAAAATAATTTGTTAAAAGATAAAAATTTTTGATTTGAGAATTCAAAAACAAACAGTTTATTATTTAATCAATAAAAAGAAAATTTTAGTGTCAAACCATCTTTTTGCAAATTCGAAGCCTTATTTTTTTTCAAAGAAAAGCTTAAATATATAATGCATCAAACTGTTTTTAACCAAACATTATTTTAAAATTGTTTTTTGTTTTTATTCTTTTTGTACTTCTTTTTTTTAAGGTGAAGAGGAAAAATAACAGCTTATTTAAAAAAAAGAAGTACAAAAAGAATATGAATAAATGATAAATATTGAAAGATGTGTATTTTTAGAAAAAAACACATCTTTTTTGAAAAGTGTGGGTTTCATAACTTCGGATTCTAAAATCGAAAAATCGTGAAGATCAGAAACCAATTTAATATGAATTTTATAAGCAGATTCAAAAATTTGTATTTAAGCCTCAAAATGCACATAAAAATTGTGTCATTTC